TGTGTCAGGTGACTTGCCCAAAAGAAAAAACCCCTAAAAAAAAAAAAAAAAAAAAAAAAAAGCTCTTATGGCCAACCTATGACAACCCCAGGGTGTCCCGTGTACCCCCATTCATGGTCACCCCATACAAGTCGCCCAGTCACTGCCCCATCAACGTGTCCCAGGATGACCTTTCCGATATCCCAGGGCCACGGCAAGGTCCATCGGGGTGTAGCCGGAGTCGGCCTCGGTGGTCAGATCGGCGCCTCGGGCTGCAAAGCAGAGACAGGGCTGAAGGGGGCGCCAGGCCTGAGGGCAGGGCCCAGAATGGGGCTCGGGGACTCTCGGGAGGTCCAGTGACCCCTTCCCAGTGTGGCTACAGGTCTGCCCACGGCCCATGTGACCTCAGACAGGACACTGACTTCTCCGAGCCTGAGTTTTCTCTAAGGATGTGGCTCTGGGGTCCCTGAAGCTCTGAGGTCCCAGGGAAAATGGGGGTGCTCAAGAGGGTGGACCAGATCCCTGAGCGATCCTGCCCCGGCCCCATCCACCCTCTGAGAAATTCAGGTTGTGGCCAACTATGCTAGAAGCAGCTCAAGTCAGGCCCAGAGCCTCCCTAGCCCCAGGGATCCTTGGAGGGTTACTTGGGACTTAGGGGGCCCCAGCCAGTCCCGTCCCCTACTTACCCAGCAAGGCCTCAACACACTTCACGTGGTTCCCACGCACAGCATACAGCAGAGGGGTCCCTCCATTCTGTTGGGGGCAGAGCAGGGGAGACCAACATGCTTAACCTTCCACAATTCCCACAATACCCTTTTTTTTGCCTTAGGATGTGTGCGCTCGTTGGAGAGAGAGACAGAGACAGTGAGAGGGAAAGTGAGAAATCACCTCCCAGGGGGGTTGGCCATACCACAATCCCTTCTCCTCCATTCTCCTCCTGGCATCTTGGACACATACGCACATGGGCCCAGCGTGATTTTCAAGCCACCGAGTCTGGGACTCGAACTATGGTCGGCTATGTGGGAGCTACGCTCCCTGCTGGCCCCCACGATGCCCACTTCATGTGGCTCTTCCTTCTGTTTGCCCATCTCGTGGTGCCTCTTTTTTTCCCCCCAAAGAATTATTTTATTTTAGGAATTACAATCCCTGGGGCCAGCAGATGGCGTAATGGCTATGTCACTGGACTCCCATGTAGTCGACCGTGGTTCGAGTCCCGGACCCAGTGGCTTCAACTCACGCCGGGCGCGTGTGCGTGCATGCCCAAGATCCCAAGAGGAGAATGGAGGAGAAGGGATTGCGGCGTGGCCATCCCCCCTGGGGGGTGATTTCTCGCTTTCTGTCTCTCTCTGTCTCTCTCTGGCGAATGCACGTGCCCTATAGCAAAAAGTTCTCCAAAAACAAACAAATAAGAAATAAATATATATTTACTTATTTGTGGGGCCAGCAGGTGGCATGGTGGTTGGAGCATGGGATTCCCAAATGGCCGACTATGGTTCGAGTTCTGGCCCTGGTGGCTTGCTTTCTCATTATCACTCTCTCTCTTTCTTGATGTCTCTCTCTGGTCAAATTGAATAATAATAATACATAAAATAAAATATTTTTTTAAAAATTGCTTGTTTATTTTAACTGATGAATAAAGGTTGTATTTTTTTTATTCTGTAAAAAAAATAATAATTTTGGGGCCAGCAAGTGGCGTAGTGGTTAAGGGTACTGGACTCCCATGTGGCCGACCATGGTTCAAGTCCCAGACCTGGTGGCTTGCTTTCTCACTTTCTCTCTCTCTCTGTCCTTCTCTCATCAAATTAAAATAAATAAATAAATAAAGTCAAATAAAATAATTTAAAAAAAGAATAATTTTATTTAACTCTATTTTATCATTTAACTTTAGTCATTCATTTATTTACTTACTTATTTAATTTAATTTATTTATTTTAATTTGACCAGAGAGGGACAGAGTGAGACAGAGAGAGAGGGAAAGTAAGAAAGCAAGCCGCCAGGTCCGAGACTCGAACCGTGGTCAGCCATGTGAGAGTTCAGTGCCCCTATCCACCATGCCACCTGCCAGTCCCATTCATTTACTTATTTATTTTAATTTAACCAGGAGGGACAGAGAAAGCAAGCTGCCAGGTCCTGGACTTGAACCATGGTTGGCCATGTGGGAGTCCAGAGCCCTAACTACCACGCCACTTGCCAGCCCCTGCCATACATGGGAGTCCAGCAACATAGCCATTATGCCATCTGCTGGTCTCCCTACTTTCAATTCTTTTTTTTTTTTTGAGAGGTTTTTGCTATAGGGCGCGTGCGCTCGCCAGACAGACAGAGAGAGACAGAGAGATAGAAAGCAGGAAATCACCCCCCAGGGGGGATGGCCACGCCGCAATCCCTTCTCCTCCATTCTCCTCTCGGGATCTTGGGCACGTACGCACACACGCCCGGCGTGAGTTTAAGCCACCGGGTCCGGGACTTGAACCGCGGTCGACTACGTGGGAGTCCAGCGACATAGCTAACTGCTGGTCCCTTTTTTTGGTGTTTGTTAAAGGCACATGCATTTGCCAATAGACGGTCAGTCAGAAAGCAACCCCCCCACCCCTGAGGGGGGAGCCATGCCATGATTCCTTCCCCACTCTCCTTTTAGGATTTTGATCACACATGCACATGTGCCTGGCATGATGTTCAAGTTGCCGGGTCCGGGACTCGAACCATTCAGTTGACCATGTGGGATCCAGTTACCTTAACCTCCATGCTGCCTGCTTAACCAATTAATTTTTTTTTTTGTCATATACTGCATGTACTCACTAAAGAGAAATAGAGAGAGGGGGAGAGTGAGAAATCACACCCCCTCTGGAGACCAGCAGTTAGCGTAATGGCTATGTCGCTGGACTCCCATGTAGTCGACTGCGGTTCACGTCCCAGACCCGGTGGCTTAAACTCATGCCTGGCGCGTGTGCGTGCGTGCCCAAGATCCCGAGAGGAGAATGGAAGGAGAAGGGATTGCAGCGTGGCCATCCCCCCTGGGGGGTGATTTCTCGCTTTCTGTCTCTCTGTCTCTCTCTGTCTGTCTGGCGAGCGCACGCGCCCTGTAGTGAAAACCTCTCCAAAAAAAGAAAAAAAAAGAAAAGAAAGAAAAAACACCCCCTCCCAGGGAGGATGGCCACGCCGCAGTCTCTTCTCCTCCATTGTCCTCTTGGGATCTTGGGCACGCACGCACACGCACCTGGCATGACTTTCGAGCCACCTGGTCCAAGACTTGAACCACATATTCAAGCCTGTGGGATCCAGCTAGCTTAATCTCCATACCTCTGGCTGGCTAAAATTTATTTTATTTCGTTTGTTTTTTGCTTTTTTTTTTTTTAAATAGAATTATTTTAACTTTATTCATTCATTTGTTTGTTTGTTTAATTTGACCAGAGAAGGACAGAGAGAGAGAGAGACAGTAAGATCGCAAGCGGCCAGGTCCGGGACCCAAATCGCAGTCAGCCATGTGGGAGTGCAGCGCCTTAACCACCACGTCACCTACTGGCCCCTGTAATTTATTTTAATTGTCAGAGGGCATGTGTAGTTGCCAAAGAGAAAAATAGATGAAGGAGGAGAAAGTGCAGGCTCCTCTTGTGTTTTTCAAGTTGCCAGGACTGGGATTCGAACCGTATTTGGCCAAGTGAGATCCAGCTTCCTTAACTACTAGACTATTGGGTTTTATCGCTTTCTTTGGGACTCAGGGTTTTTTTGTTTTGTTAATTATTTATTTAATTCTATTTATTTGTTCATGTATTTTTTTAAAATCTTTTCTGAAACTTTTTTTTAAAAGAATTATTTATTTATGGGACCAGCAGTTAGCGTCATGGCTATGTTGCTGGACTCCCATCTCGCTTTCTGTCTCTCTCTGTCCATATGAGATCCAGCTCCCTTACTCTGTAGGCTATGGGGTCAGCCTTGGGTCTTAGTCTTTTTTGTTTTGTTTTTAAGAGAGATTTTTGCTATAGGGTAAGCAGGCGCTAGCCGAAGT